AAATTTAATAATCCAAAAGTTATATCCATTCTACTCTCAGGAACTTAGACTATTTTGTATATTTGCATAGTTTTAATATTGTTTTTCTGAAATTTTTTTCAGATCATTCTAGGGATGTGACACAAATTACAATACAGATCGGGCTAAAATTACTATTAAAATCACAGTATTTCTAAATAAATCAAAAATTTCTTAGAGAATACTGCCATGAAATGAATAAAAATGTAAAGCATGAATATATATATATTTTACAGCAAAATGCAATGCATAAACAAAATAGTAAGAAAGACAATATTGTTTCCTGATCCCAGAGTGTCAAAAGAGGAAACCACTCCAATTAAGTTAAGCAGCCTAAGCAGCTAATGCACAATGGTTGATGATTTGTCTTTCATGTTTGTAGAGTTTAATAAGTAACTAAGCAAAATTCTTGTGAATATCGCTATTACATTGGTTCACCCTTTTTCGTTGTCTCACCATTTTGTTGTTCCCCTTCCCTTCCCTAATTCAGCTAAACATACATCTAATACCCAGGGTACCAAAATCAAATACAGTGACAACAGGGGATAAACCATAGGGAAAAAAAAAACACTAAAGAAAAAAGAAATCACATAGGACATTAAAACAACAATAACAAAGAAAAACCTCTTGTTTCCAAGTCTTGGATTTAATTTTGCTTGTTAGCCTCATCTTATATGGTCATATGTACACAGCTATTGAGCTATTCTGCTTATCTGCTTGGACTATCTTAGACATATACTAATTATTACAAATGAGGAAAACCATGGGATCTGTTTCTTTAGGTCTGGCTTACTTCACTTAATATAATTTTTTCCAAGTCTTTCCATTTCCTTATGAATGGGGGGAGATATCATTCTTTCTGATGGAAGCATAGAATTTAATTGTGTATACATACCACTTTTCTTGATCCATTCATCTACTGAGGGGCATCTGGGTTGGTTCCATATCTTAGCTATGGTGAATAATACTGCAATAAATGTGGTTATGCTGCTAGCTTTAGTATGGCCTTGTTTGTGGTCATTTTGGTAAATGCCCAGAAATGGGATTGCTGGGTTATAGGGAAACTCTATGTTTAGGGCTAGCGCTCTCCCATTTAAGCCATGCCTCCATCCCAGTATTTTGCTGGTTGACTGGAGATGAATTTTGGGGATTTTTCTGCCTAGAGTAGCTTAGACCTTGATCCTCTGATCATGTGAGACACTAGTACCTGGCTTATTTCTATACTTCTAAAGCTAAAATTTGGGAAGAAATTACATGGCCTTTTAAAAATGTAAATATTTTTCATTAACTATTAATGTTGAGGTTCCTTTTTATTTGTGTTGTTTAACTTCTTTATTCATCCACTCACTCAACAAATAATCTGATATGCCTGCAATGTCCTGGGAGGTACTAAGGAGATAGCATTGCTTTGCTGGAGCCTGTCCCAGTGAATACATTATCATTCAGTACATTTCTAATCTGGGTATCTGGTGAAAATCCATTAAGGCAAGTGAAAAGATGTTTCTGGACAAGATCTGTCTTTTTCTTGCTGCAACAATCACAGCCATTATTGCCATGGTAAAACAGAAAACAGTTGAAATTCAGGGAACAGAAATGTAGGATACTGAGGCATATTTCCTGTACTGCCAACCTCTTGGCTTCTTGGCTAACACAGGTGTTAACCAAAACGAGACCAATTGACAAGTTCATCCTCTGCTGCAAAAGTAATTGCTCTCCAAATGGCAACGTGATTATTTTCCTTCTCTTACAATATTGAAAAGTTGATCAAAATACTCTATTAGTATTTTCCAGCTAAATCTTTTAAGAAAAGAGAATTCTCTAACACAGAATTCTTGACAATGGCTTTTTTTTTCACTTCTAAATGTCCACTCGAATGAAATTTGATAGTAACAGAACACTTCAACCTATGCACACTGTTAGCAGAAATACTTTTTTTATCCATTGTACTTATAATATCAGAGCAATAGGCAAATGCTGAAGATCTAAAGTAATCTAACAATGATAAACGAACAGAAAACCTAGACCAAACTGGAAAATAGGTAAAGGAGTCTCCAGGACAATATCTATTTAAATATTCTAGGAACAAGACATATATAGATAAATGTCTTATTTTATTGATATATATTATATATTATAGAATACATAATATATTATATTACATATAAAATATGATGTAATATAAAATATATGTAATATATTATATACACTATATCATAACATATATACACATATAAAACCCTGTCATAGCCCAAATAACAGAAGTCTGTAAAGGAAACTAAATCTTATGTTTAACTAAGAATTCACAATTCTAGATTAATAAAAATAAGTAAATCAATAAAATGCCTCCTAAATATGTGAATAGTCCTGGGGCTGGGAAGGTGGCTCAGTGGTAGAGCGCTTGCCTTGCATGCATGAGGCCCTGGGTTCAATTCCTCAACCCCACATAAGCAAAAAGAATAAAGCCGGAAGTGGCGCTGTGGCTCAAGTGGTAGAGTGCTAGCCTTGAGCTGAAGAGCTGAGGGACAGTGCCCAAGCCCAGAGTTCAGGCCCCACGACCGGACCCAAAAAATAAAAAATATGTGAATAGTCCTAAGCAAGTATAAAGTAAGAATTTATCAACACCCCTCCTTCCAAATACCGTTGAAAACAGTAAATCCTTGTAACTTCCCTCTCAAATAATTTTTAGTTTCTAATAAATCTCTAAGTTTCAGGAACTTTTATATTTATACCTAAATCCTCCCCATAGTAGCTTAATGTTTATCACAACTCACAGCAACAAAAAAATTCTCAGTAACATAATTTCTAAATTTCTGAGCAGTAATTTCTAAACTTCCCTTTTTTTGTAATACTGTAGCCCAAACCTACAGGCCCAAATTAACCCAGGAAGGATAGCACAACTCACACCTACAAAACTAGTAGCACTCATTAATAAAAACCTCTTGTTCCTAGGCTTAGGATAATCAAACACATGTTACTGCACATGACATTAAATCAAACTAAAAATATCAGTTTGAGAATGGCATTAATTTGAACAAATAGGAAGCTTCTCCATTTCAGGTGCATATAAACTAGCCTTGATCTAGCCCATAAGTTTCTCAGATTGTAAAAGGAAACAAATTTGAATATTAAAAAAACCTATAAACATTGATACTTCAGAAATATCTAAACTGAGGGCTGGGAATGTGGCTTAATGGTAGAGTGCTTGCCAAGAATGCATGAAGCCTTGGATTCGATTCTTCAGTACTACATAAACAGAAGAAGTTGGAAGTGGCACTGTGGCTCAAGTGGTAGAGTGGTAGCCTTGAAAAAAAGAAGCTCAAGGACAAAATAAGATACAAACAAGATTTCTATGCCCAGGCCCTGAGTTTAAGCCCCAGGACTGGCAGAAAGAAAAAAAGAAAGAAATTCTAAACTTAAACATCAGCTTAAGCAAAGTGCACCATAGTAAAAAAAAAAAAATGCAAAATTAAGTAGGGAATAACATGATATATACCGCAGAGAATATGTTTTTACCATTTTTTCTCTGTGCAACACTTGCTTCATTTTTCAGGATGCAAATTAAATAATATTATCTTAAAAAATAGCCATGAGGACTTCAACAGAAGGAATTGGCACTTCTCTTCCCCCTTATTTTCTAATATTAATATATTTATTTTATTCTAGTGTATGTTTACAAGTCTTTTAACTATTAATATATTTATTTTATTCTAGTGTATGTTTACAAGTCTTTGTTTGATATTAGATTAAGTTCCTCACTTTTGTATCCACCAAAAAATACCTTACATGATAACTTGCTTTATTCACAAATTGACTGCATGTGGTTTTGACCAAACAAGGTCAAAAAACAATCATTTTAAAAAATCAAGAGAAATTTCAAAAATAATTTTAACTGCTCAGGATACAGAGAAACACCCAGTCACAGATTCTTCTAAACTTACTGAGATCCTGGTGTGGTCTGCTGAGTGTTTCTCTGCCTTAATTTTCTGAAAATATGCCTCAAAAAGAAGATAGGGCAGGGTGGGTGATCAAAGGGAGGGAGAAGAAGGAAAATAAAATCTAGGGTCAAAGGACAAAGACATTTATCTAATGTTTGTCTTTGCTGTTTTTTATGTTGATAAACAGATTTATAATTATTATAGCTAATATTCTCAATTCCAAAAGAGAAGTTTAAACACTTATACATAAGAAACATGTTATTAAAGCTTATAGAGACCTCAAAAATCTAAAAATGTAAAGTAGATTCAATACCCACTCCCAAAATAAAAAGGTAAGAAAGAAACAATTCTTAAGTGGTACATGTGGGGAGAATAATAATTACTAATTTAACTATTAAAAGAAAAAACAAAACTTACTCTAAAACAGACTATCATACATTAATGTTTAAGGGACAGTACACTGGGCTTCTTGTGGTTCTTAATAAAGCTCACCAATAAAACAATAACTAAATCAAACAAAATAAGATACAAACAAGATTTCTATGCACAACTTTTCTCTTTTCACATTATGAAGTGTGCTAACTATAACACAATGAAAAGCGCTTTAAAGTTAGATATTTTCCCAATTCCCCGCCATTGTTTCCACTAGTGTGCCTATAATCTTTAATATTTTACATATTTATTTCATTTATTTCTACCACTTAAACAATGTAATGCAAGTTAAATAAATGTAGTTTTTCTCATCTATTCACTGATAAATTCAATAATAGAGAAGTCTCAAACACAAAACAGGCATCCAAATATTTACTTGTTGAATGAATTCATAGATATTTTACAATAGAAAAGTGGAATGTTTGACCAAAGAAAAACCCTCAAACCCAACAGTACCCCCTTCTATCCCAGGAATGAAGAAAAATGGGAGAACAAGAGACAAGAAAAGGAAATGGAATTGGTAAAAGGCCAAAGGGGAGGAAAACACCAAGGGTCTTTTTTCAATTCTAGAATTCTATGAATATAAATAAAGTAGAGTAAGAGCAGTTAACTTACCTCTCTTCTCCTGGTGTATTTCTTCCAGAAGCTGCTCCTGCCTTTCTATCTGTTCAAAGAGACACTGGAGCTCAGATTCCTTGTTTTCCGTCAGATCTCTGAGTTGCTGTCTGCAGAGCAGCAGCTGGTGTCGCAGGTTTTTCTCTCTGTTTTCTCTCTCTTTCAGTTCCTCACAGAGCCATTGAAGTTTAGTCTGAAAATATAACATGTACATTTAATTTCTTAAAATCTAGAAGACAATAACATTTCAAATATATGACCAAAAAAACAAAGTTAAGATGATTTGGAGAATTATAGTTAATTGCAATCAAATTTAGGCAAGGAATTTGAACATCCACATTTTAATCTGCATACAAAAGGTGGTTCAGAAATTTAGCCATAATACCTCTAGATTTTTATCAAACACTTGAGAAACCCATCATCTTTAGAAATGCAACACCATAGCAGAGTTTGGCCTATTAAATTTCCAGTCATAAAACAAGTAGTCATGTATGGGCTGGGAAGGTGGCTCAGTGGTAGAGCGCTTGCCTTGCATGCATGAGGCCCTGGGTTCGATTCCTCAGCACCACATAAGCAAAAAAAAAAAAAAAAAGCCGGAAGTGGTGATGTGGCTCAAGTGGTGGAGCGCTAGCCTTGAGCTGAAGAGCTGAGGGACAGCGCCCAGGCCCAGAGTTTAGGCCCCACGACCAGACCCCCCCCCAAAAAAAAAACAGGTAATCATTTGTCTTAGTACATATGGCATCTGAAATTTTAAAAATACCCCCAGAATAGAACACTTTATTGAAGATATTTTATTTTATTGTTGTTGGTGGTGGTTGTGGTTGTGGGCTGAACTCTGAGCCTGGGCGCTGCTCCCTGAGCTCTTCAGCTCAAGACTAGCACTCTACCACTTGAGCCACAGTGCCACTTCCGCTTTTTCTGCATATGTGGTGCTGAGGAATCGAACCCAGGGCCTCATGCATGCAAGGCAAGCACTCTACCACTGGGCCACCTTCCCAGCCCCATTTCAGATATTTTATAAGATGATAAAATTGCTAGTTATGATGACAAATCTTCATATGTTGAAAACTCAGGGAGAAGGAGAGTACCTCTAAGTTGAAGGGAAAAAGTCAACATCTGCCCTCAATGAAGCGACTATAAGAATGTTAATAAAGTCAATTCTTTTTATAGACTCTAGCTTTCACCTATCATTATGCTTAGATATTTTAAGCAGGACTGTGAAAGACATATTTCTTCCACTTTCAAAACAAAAAGATTCAGTCATGTCTCATTGCCTTCCCAAATATAGCTCCCTATCCTCTAGCCTCTGGGATATTTTAAGTAAATAAGAAATAAAATGAGTAAAGTACCTGTTACAAGGGATAACTAAATAAACTCTGACTTGCTTCTAGTGTACAGTGGTGTGAATTTCCTCTCTGGAAAATAATCTGGTCGTTTCAAGAGGTTAAACAGAGTTACCATATACGCAGAAATTCTACTCCTTGGTTTACACTCAAAAGAAGCAAAGATATATATCCATGCAGAAACTCAAAGTAGTATGTTTATAGAAGCATACTCACAATATGCCCCAAAGAGAAACCATCCAAACAGTCACCAAATGAGGATGATGAAAAAAATGGTGTATACCTAAACAATGGACAATTATTTGGCAATAAAAAGAAAGTAATGATATATACCACAACATGGACAAACCTTAAAACATTCTGCTCAATCAAAAATGCCATTCCCAAAAAGAAAAACCAATATACAGTATGATTTCATTTTATAAAATATACACAATAGAAAAATCTACACAAAAAGATGAAGTGTGGCCTAGAACTGTGGATAAGGCTAGAGCAAACTAGTGGGTGAGGTACAAAGGGATCCTTAGTTTATTTGGGGTAATAATAATGTTCTAAAAACCATTTTAGTGATGGCTGCACAACTCTGTACATACATTGAGACAAACATGATACTTAAAGCATATATCCATTAAGCTATTATTTAAAGAACAAAATGAAAATCTAGAAAATCTAAAGGGTTAAAAGATAAAGGTAAAAGAGGCTAGGAAAATAAAGCCATAATAAAATATCCCAGAATGGACTTCGATCTGGCTTTAGTGCAGAATTTGGAATCCATTAGGCATATGACACTAGATAAAAACAAAGTCCTCCAACTTCAAGTGAGCTGTGGGATCCAATTGAAACTCAAGAAATTTAACAAATTCTGTTTGGTTTTCAATATTTCCTTTCTAGTATCCATACAAATACAATCATACAAATACAAAACAAAAGTTTCCAAAAATGCTAGGTTCGGTAGCACTGTCCTATAATCCTACATATTCAGGAGGGAAAACCAAGACTTCAGTTTGGAAGCCAGTCAAGCAAATGGCCCTGTCTCAAAATCAAATGGGAGTGGTGGCTCCAATTGTAGAATACTTTCACTGCAAAACTGAGGCCTGAGATCAATCCTCAGTATTGCCAAAACAGAACTTCCATTGAGCAAAGAAAACTTGGTCAACTTCTTGCCAGGTAAAAGGAGTAGCTTGCGTCACAATCTCCCATTGAAGCACTAAGAATCCAGGTTGGGGTGAAGATATCGTGCTATATCATTATCCTCTATTTCTTTTGAACTTAGTCCATATAGACAGACATGGAATGCAAATGAAAAATAGACAAAATATATACATTTCACATTTCACTGATGGTTCCTCACAAGCTGTGGGTAACACAAAGTACCAGCTATAAGCTTTTGCGGCTGAAATGGGTAGCTCAAGTGGTGGAGTCGCTGCCCAGTAAACATGAGGCTTTCAATTCAAGCCACAGTCCTGGGATGGAAGAAAAGGTGGGGAGGAATGGAAGGACAGTAGGAGGAAATTAATTGAATTTTTAAATACCAGGTAGTAAAACAAAATGGATTCCTGAGGTTACTAACATCAATCCTCCATTTGAAACTGCTTATCCCCAGAGATTAAACTGCAAAGACAGAAAACAACTTCATATTTTCCTTTTCTCAATGCTTTTTTATTTATACCATCCTAATCTTTGGCTTTGATTCATTTCCTATGATTATTATTACTAAATAACAAATTTATACACTGGATTCTGATACGAGAAAATGAAAGGATAGTCCAAAATTATCCTGAAATAACATATGTGTGTGTGTGTGTGTCTGTGTTGACACAAGTTATGGATTGAATTGTACTCTCTCCCTTCAGTGTATATTTGTACACTGAATTATATTGTCTGTATATTCTGCCCCAAGTGTGAGTTGTATAAAGGTAAGGCCTTTAAGACAATGATGAAGCTTACACAAATCATAAAGGTAAGACCCTACTCTCACAGGTCTGTTGTCCTCAGAACTCCCTTTCTCTTAGGAACACAAAATGTGGCCCTCTATATGACAGAAAGAGAGATCTTACCAGAAACCAAGACTGGCACTTTCAACTTAAGACATACAGTTTCCCGATCTATGAGAGAATAAATGTTTAGGCCACTAAGAGTATGGCATATTATATCAACCCCAAAATACTAATAAATAATGACCTACAGCTTTAATTTACTCCTATGAAGCCTTTATTCTATTGTCAAACAAAATATAAAATAACTTATAGTTAGATGCTTGTTTTGAAGTGAACATGTAGAATATATTATTCATCCAAAAAATATCAATTTATGGAAATGTAATCAATTGATAATCAATTATGGGAACCAGTGTTTATTAGATACTCAGAATTGTCATTAAGTATTTTGGAGAAGCAGTCTAAAACACAGTACAGGAATAACTTTAACAATTTCATATAATAAAACCATTTTACAGATTACAAAATAGGCTCATTTATTTAACAATATCAACAAAGATCATTAAATAAACCAAAATAGAGAACTTAAAAATAATGTAGGTTTTACCTAAATTCTTGCCACCATATAATTAGGTGGGAATATTCAAAAGAATCTAGTAAAACTACCACAGTAATCTTTTTTAATTTCTGAGAGTCCTCTACTGAGATTTAGTATAATAATAAAGTCACTGAGAAATAACTCAAAGCTGAAAACCAAGGAAAACAGAACATTTGAATGAAAAGATTACAGCTTACAGAGATAATAATAAGGACCACTCATTTTGCTACTTTAACTACTATGCTTCTTTCATCAAAACTCTAAAAATAATTTTGAAAAAGTTGCTTATATAAGAACCAGAGAAAAAAGAAAGAATGGTGACCTTTTAAAATGTGCTCGGCCACCAAAATAAGGACTAAAACAGAACTGCAAAATTCAAAGCCACACCAACTTAAAAACAGAATTGGAAGCTTGGTGCTCTAATTCTGTGGCTGCAGCCTGTAATCCTAGCTACTTGGGAGACACAGATTTCTGGGATCATGGTTTGAGGCCAGTCCAGACCAAAAAGAAAAAGGTTCATAAGATCCCTTCTCAATGAAGAGTTGGACTCAGTATTGTGTTACCATAGCTACTGGGAAGCCTAACAAAGGTGGATGGGGCCAGGACAGAAAGAGAAACCCTGTATCAAAAGTAACAAGCAAAGACCAGGGCTTAAGGTAAGAGTGCCTGCCTAGCAAATACCAGGTCATGAGCTCAAACTCTGGTATCAGAAAAGAAAGAGCAAGAGAGCAAGAGGGGAAGGAAGGGGAGGGAAGGAAAAGGGGAGTGGAAGTGAAGAAAAGGGAAAGGGAAGACATGGGGAAGGAGGAAATGAAGGAAAAGGGAAAGGAAAGGGAAGAGGAAGGGGAAGGGAAGGGGAAGGGGAAGGAAAAATAACAATAACAGTAGTAGTAGTAGTAGTAGTAGTAGTAGATACAAACATTTTGGAGGTGATATTGGAATTTGAACTCATACTGGTGTTCGCTTATTTGGCACTGTACCAGTTAAGCCATGCCTCCAGTCCAGCTAAATGATGGTTATTTTGGAGATGGAGTTTCGTGTGCCTTTCTACCCAGGCTGGCTTCAAATCATAATCCTTTGGATATCACCTTTCTTGAGTAGCTATGAGTGAGCTTTAGGCACTTGTAAGAATAATACATTTGAAATATTTTCCACATTTTATTTACTTATCAATAAGTTAAAACATATCAAAAACATATATTTTAAATAACATTTTCTCAAGATTGAATATGTTTCATATAGACAATCTAAAGTATATTTCCAAAAAGTGAATTAAATCAATGAGAACGGTATTTTCATCTTTATGCTAGAACAA